ACTGTGCAACCACAGAAAGGCAGAGAATCGAGTGCAACTAGGATGGAGGGGGATGGAGGCAGAAATGGATTTTGTGCAAGGAAGGGAGCAGTTACAGTGATGGATCATTGAACCAAAATATGTTTGGAAGGAGAAAAAAAGGCATGAGGAAGGGAGTGGGTCAACAGATTTTCAGTATCAGAGAATTATTGAAGGTAGAGTCCTAGCTTAAGAGAGAGAACCGGGGACAAGTGGTGGTGGACGAGTGCGGTGTTCCGTCAGGTTGTGGAAGAGCTGCGGTGGTGGTCGCCCTGCAGGTGGGGCTGGTACTTGAGTGGGACGTTTCACTGGGTGAGCGCTGTTCGTGGCACAGGTCCCTTGACGCCTGCCTGTAAAATACCAGACAGCCCCCAAGTTCTTAGGACAACCAAAACTGCCTTCATAATTCCACTCCCCAAAAGAGCGGCTTAAAACCATGTTTGCAAATACAGCTGTCCTCCCTTTATCTGCAGGAGCTCTATTACCAGAGCCCCTGTGGATGCCTGAAACCGTGGATAGTATGAACCCCATATATACTGTATTTTTACCTACATGTATGTGCCTGTCATAAAGCTTAATGTGTAAGTTAGGCACAGTAAGACAGTAACAACAGTAGCTAATAAAATAGAACTACTGTAACAATATCCTGTAATAGAAGTTAAGTGAAAGTGACCTCCCTCAAAATACCTCCTGTGTGGTACTCACCCTTCTTGCTGTGGTTGATGAAGGGAGATGACAGAGCGCCTATGAGATGAGAAGTGAGGAAGAGTGACGTAGCCCCTGTAACGGAGGCTACCGTTGACCTTCTGATGGAAGGAAAGTCAGAGGGAAGGTCGTCTGCTTCCCGACCACAGCTGACCAAAGAAAGTGAAAGTGCAGATCTATGGGGGACTCCTGTACTTCCGGGGCATGAGAAACACTTGCCCCAGTGAGTGACTGAGCGAGGGTGGAGGAGGAGAGAGAATCAAGGCACTGAGAGGTCGGAGTTTTGGAAAGACAGTTCTGCACGGAGAGACTTCCCAGTGGTGATAATACCGAATGACAGTGGGAGTAAGGAGTAGCCCCGGCGGTGTGGGGGGGACTGTAGGCAGGAAGGATGGCAGTTCAGAACTGGGAGGACTGGGTGGTCGGAGGAGAGCACAGGGGAGAGGAGGAACGGCTTAGGAACAGCGGTGATGATCAAGAAGGACACCTTCCCCGCCTCCGGGCCCATGGTACAAGAGCTACCACAGGAGGCCTGCGGGAGAAGCAGCAGCACAGTCCTCAGGGAGAACTAGGTTTCTGTTGGAACAAATTAGGGGGCAGAATAGCCGAGAAATGCAAGTTGGGAATATGGAAGACTTGCTCGTGGCTGACTGTGATTTCCAAGGGGCCTGGTGGAAGAGATCAAGGAATCTGGGTGGGGGCAGGAGAGTTTAAGAGATGCAGTCATAGACCAGCATGGACACAGCTGACTGGGGTGAGCATGTAGGAAGTGACATGCCCAGGAGCCCGTCTTTGGTAACTACAGTAAGCATAGGCCATAAGGATAAAAGGTTTGAGGGTCTCGAGGCAGATGGTGTTGTGGTTATAAGTACTGGTGAGGGAAGGAGAGAAGAGGTTCTTAGGAGGAACCCACAGACTTCTGGGGACCCCTTTACTTCCAGAGGCTCTGACAACATTCTCGCTCCTGACAGTTCGAAGCATGAGGCAGACGAGGGCAGGCTCCAGAACACTTGGAGCGTCCCTTCTTGATCCACAGGGCTGTGAAGTAGTCACTCATCTTTGTGACAAGAGGACCGTGCACCGATTGGCTCAGGCCTGCTGTGGCAATGACGCCGTGTAACAAATTACCTCAAGACGTAGTGGCTTAGAACAGCATTTATTATCTGGTATTTTCCTTGGATCAGGAATCCGGACAGGCATAACTTGTTAAGCCCTCCATCTCTGGGTCTCCAAAGATGCGAAGAAGGTGTTAGAGGCTCAGCTGGGGCGTTGGTCCTCTTCCAGGCTCACTCAGTAGATGTTGCTGGGATTCAGTTCCTCCCTAACTTTGGCCAGAGGGCCCCTAGGTTCCTTGACACGTGAGCCTCCCCCTAAGGCAGCTCCGTCATGCCAGAAAGCTTCATCCACGAGAGAGAGTGCTAGCAAGACAGAAGCCAGTCCTCTGTAATCTCATCGCAGACGTGACATTCCCATCACTTTTTCCTCATCCTGTTAGAAGTAACTCACGAGGTCCGGCTCACACTCAGGGGGAGAGGGCGTTACACAAGGGTGTGCTGGAGACCCTGTCCGAAAGTCACCCATCCCTGAACCAACCACTGATGATTGAGACTGGGACCAGTCAGTTCTTCCCACTCCTGGAGCTGGAGTCCGGTCCCCAAACCACAAGGCCACCATAATAGCAGGGAAGAGCAGAGGATAGAATAAACATTGGGAGGACAGCCGCTGCGTTTGCTGTAACCACTAAGCAGTGTCCATGCTTCTATCCTTCCAGCCCTGACCTTTTCTTTTTTTTTTTTTTTTAAGATTTTATTTATTTATTTGACAGAGAGAGATCACAAGTAGGCAGAGAGGCAGGCAGAGAGCCTGATGCGGGGCTCGATTCCAGGACCCTGAGATCATGACCTGGGCCGAAGGCAAAGGCTTAACCCACTGAGCCACCCAGGCGCCCTGCCCTGACCTTTTCTTTCTGCAGTAAGGGTCTATATCCTTAGTCTCCCCAGTGCCCTCAAGATCAAGTCCAGACTTCTTACTTTGGCACATGTTGGCCTTTGTACTCAGATCCCAGTTATCTGTGCTGCCTTCCTTCTAACCCTGTACTCAGTATCTGCTCAGCCAGTGGTTCATCCAACTTTTTGGTCTCGGCACCCCTTTAATTCACTTATAAGTTATTGAGGGCCCCAAAGAGCTTCTGTTACAGCTGTGAGCATTTACTTAATGCTCACAGGTGTAGCATTTATTAGGAATAAAAACTAATTTTAAGATATTTATTAATTTGTAAAATAATACTCAATATAAATAACATTTTTATGAAAAATACATTTTTTAGAAAGTGTTTTGAGAAGAAAGACATTGCTTTACATTTTATTATTTTTTTTAAGTTTTTATTTAATTTTTTTAGCAACCTCTGTACCCAGCTTGGGGCTCGAGCTCACGACCCTAAGATCAAAGAGTCACACGCTCTACTGAAAGCGAGCCAGGTGCCCCATAATGTTTTGCATTTTAAAATTTCTTTAATGTCTGGCTTAATACGAGACATCAGGGTTCTCATATCTACTTCTGTTTTCAGTCTCTGGTTGAGTTATATGAAGAAATGTGGCCTCACATAAATATGTAGTTGGAAAGTGGAGATACAAGTATTTTAATAGTTTCTTCAGATCATTGCGAATGTTATTCTTTGATATTACACCAGCTCTGTGTAAGAGGTATTTTCTGAAAGGTTACTAGCCATGTGCAGTCTAAGCTTTCTGTATTCTGTTAATAAAGTCTGTCGGACTGTCTGGCACTGTGAATAGCTCTTACCCATTTGGAAGGTATTGGCTCCCTGAATTCATTGGGTCTTCCAAATCTTTCATTATAAAGTATTTTTAATCACATTTTTAAATACCAGGTATATCTTGTCAGAAAAATCCCTATTGGGAAGTCTTGACTGTAGAGGATTAAGTTTTCCAGAATTTTAAGTTTCACTTAAAAGCTCAAGTTTCGTCGTTGGCAACAAATACTTCCACTTGTCTTCCTTGAGGGAATAGGCTCATTTCACTTACTTCTGAGAAAGCGTCCGAATAACCATAGTTTACCTGCCATCATTTTGTCAAGTGACAATGGTGCTCCGTGAAAAGACCCTGTGACTTCCACCATCTCATCACTTCCGCTGTGTTCGGGGCTTCTTCAGCTCTGCGCCCTCCCACAGCCTCTTCCTGTGCCTCGTGCCCGTGGGCCTCGGGGGGCCTGGTTGCGTTAGTCGGCCGCTATCTGACCGAGGGCGGCCTGGCGCAGAGCACGGCCACCGGCACAGAGTGAACCACTTCTTGCTGCGGACTTGGAGGAGACGTCCAGGCTAGCACGTGCTCCGAGCACCATGTCCAGGATACGTACCATTGTGAATCAGCAAGACGGTTTTTGATGCGGAGGTGCCAATAGAGTCGTGGTGGTATATGACAAGTTAAAAAATGGATTTGTAATTCGCTTTTTATAAGCACCCATTCGACAGTACCTTGTTGAAAGACACCGCCCCCCCCCCCCCCACCAAAATCCCATGTCCTTACAGTTGTGGTCACATTCTGGTATCACCTTTTCTTCCTTGGGAGCATTAATTCTATTCCAAGGCGGCTCTGGGACCATCTGTCCCAAAAATGTCCTTCAGTACGGCTTGAGTCGTCGGCGCTATGACTATTCCGCCAATGTCCACACAGATTTTATCGCCTTTCACATTGGTATTAGTGAAAAGACATTGTTAAATAAATTCCTTTGGTTAATAATTTTTCATTGCTTTAAATGGGTGTCTTCCTCCTTCACAAGGGAGGAAAATCCCCCAAAGTCTGTGAGTATAATCATATCTAGTATTTTTATGTGTTAATAATTAGGAGTCACTAGTCACTGCATTTTGTAGGTTCACAGATTTGAAATAAGATTTTTATTGTTTTTTTTTAGTTGACTTTCTCATTCAGATAGGAACAGAGCAGGCTGGCTGTAAGAGAAGTGTTTTTCCTTTTTTTTTTTTTTTTAAGATTTTATTTATTTATTTGACAGAGATCACAGGTAGGCAGAGAAGGGGGGAAAGCAGGCTCCCTGCTAAGCAGAGAGCCCAATGCAGAGCTTGATCCCAGGACTCTGAGATCATGACCTGAGCCGAAGGCAGAGGCTTAACCCACTGAGCCACCCAGGTGCCCCAAGAAAAGTATTTCTGCCATCTTGAGGTTTAGTAGCTTTTCCTATTTGAAGGTCCTGGAATTATTTATATATGGCATAATGTACACTATAGATTTGGACTATATATGTGAGAACATACCCACAAGCGAGTACTCATGAGCTCACAAGCGAGTTCATTCACTTAGCAAAGGAAAGAAGAAACAGGCTGTTTTAGGAAGAAATACGGGGGGCCCGAAATCCCTCTTTCCTTTGTCCCTGAAGAGCATGGGGAGTAGGGGGAGTAAGGTATTTGGGTTAATGATGAAGAAAACAAAAACAGCGTCCCTATGAAGAAACGTAACCTGGTAGGATTTATGGTAGGACCCGGATTGAAACAATTCTTTTCTGAAATGGAAATATTTTGTCACACACATGCCATCTAAATTTTAAAAGAAATCTAGACTTCCTTTCTTATCGTACATCTTGATTTTGTTAAATCTTGTATGTCTTCGAACCATATGTCCCAAGTAATTAAGTTATAAATATTATACAGAGTAATTTGCATACATTCCAAATGCTTTTTAAATTTGAAGCAGCTTACCTTTCTTTCTGACACCACAGTCCTCACAAAGATGGATTATCTCAATTTCTCCAGTGACTTTATCCCAGCAATACACTGTCCTGAGCTGTACGAGTGCACGCTACTGCACTCTGTCCCTGCCAGACAGTAGACAGAGTTTATTGTTTTGTTTCCTTTTTTTGAATGGCACACTACAGATGCCCTAGCACCTCGCTTGCTGAGCTGACCGGTATCAAGCACAGCCTCACCAGGCTCTTCTTGCTGAGTACTGGTAATGCTGCAGTACAGATTAAAATCTCAGGAAATCCCACTTATTATGTACTTTACAGGTATGGAGCTTTTATTGTTAATGTCCCAAATCATCTAAAGTCTTGTTTTCTTTCTTTTTTTTTTTACAGACCTAACTACCATAATGAATGCTGCATATTAAGAAAAACCATAAGAAGGTTATACATTTGGTTGTCTAATAATCTTGGATTTGATATGAACCAACACATACTCTTGTTGTCATTGACAGAACCCCAGTTTGTATGTACATTATTCACATTCCTCTCTGTTGTGTTTGGGGGAAAAAAAGACATTTTAGCCTTTTTTAAGGTTATTGATTTAATTTCATGTTATTTGGTTGCATGAAGTTGCCCTTAACCACTAAGGATTATCAAGATTTTTGCACAGACTTATACATGTCTAGGATCCTTTTATCAAGGCAGTTACGTTCATCATTCTCCTGCCTTTACTCCACTGTCACCAGACACTCCATTAAATATAAATTAGCACTTTTTAAAAATGACCACTCAACATAATGCTTACGGGATTTCCTCTCTGTGACAGAACCCAGGAACCAGTTCCTAAACACATAATGTTGGCATATTGAAGATGAAATTAAATTGTCCTTCAGTTTTGAGGCCATGTGTAAAGTTTAATCACATTGTAAAATATCTATTCCGTATTAGAAATAGCTAGTCGACAGCTTATACTTCTCAAACTCATTGTTACGTACACAAACTCAGTTTTTATATGTGAAGTTAGTGAGTCTTTTGTGTTATTCCAAAATAAAGGCAATGATTTATTTTTTCCCCAATGCCAATACAATTTGAGCTAATCACTCAAGGTGGATAATTTACATTTTAAAGCTGGAATCAGCAGTAGCCCTATGGGAAACCAGACCAAGCATTGACTTTTAAATGAACCATTGTTTTCTTTTGGAACTAGAATTAGGATAGTTAATATTCATCCACAAACCATTATTATGTGTACATTATTGTTGCTATTGTGATAATAGAGAATTTTATTTATTTTTATGCCAGCTTATATTGTGAGAACACATTTAGTCAGTTTGGGTTTTATCAATCCTGTTATGCTTGTCCTTGGAACATCTTTCGCGTATTCGAGGTTTGTAGTTGAAAAGTTTACTGTAAAAAAAAAAAAAATCAAAAACAAAAAAATGTATTGTTTTTACAGAATAAATTTATTGGAATGTGTACTGGGAGTAAGATTTGAGGTTGTAAACAACGAAGTTAGTGTAATTTGGCTTCATCTATGTAATGTGAGGTATTAATGTAATTCATATATTAAAGCAAAAATTGTTAACAGCAAGTTGACAATAGAATCAAGTGCAGGTGAGGGTTTTTCTTTTTCTTTTTCTTTTTTGCACACTGTCTGGGTGTTAAGTTTTTTGTAAACATGGAGGAGGGAGAGGAATGGCTACATGATTGCTTGCACGTCTCAGATAATATTTACCAGCTCAGTGGACCCTAAATTCGCACACTTGACATTATCCATGCACTGATTTGGACTCCCATTTCTTTTTTGTTTTCTTACTGTGGTGAAGAGCTAATAAATAACATGAAGAGAAAATGTGAGCTGCTCTGAAAGCCCGAGGCCATTGAGGACAGCGATGGTGCTGGTGCTGGTGGCAGCGTGCCCGAGTGGATGGAAAGCACCAGTCTGCTTACCCCTCCAGGGCGCACGGATTTTTAGTTTGCTTCTCTCGCTTAACAAATACCAATTTTTTTCTCTATACTCGTAATTCCAAATATGAAAGGTTCTTTAGAAGATAAAAGGGATGCCACTCCAGTTCTTTCTCCCTTAGAAGTACTTTTTAGTTTTGAGTGCTGTAATTTAATTTTAAATTAACGAAATTTAATTAATTCATCAGAAATCCCCTTCATTGCTCACACTAAAACATAAGGAGAATGTAGATGACATTTTGAGTTGGAACATGTAACTGACAGATTTTTAAAATAAAAACCCTAGAGACTACGAAACTGTTTCTGAAAAAAAAAAAAAAATACAAAATGTTTCCAGTTTAATAAGATTTGTTTTCATAAAAGGTCAAAAAAATTTATTAAAAATATACACAGAAATACAATAGAAATATTTCCAGTCACTGATAAAACCAGTATTCATTAAGAGTAATGATAAAGTTATCGATCTCTCCTTAGCTATTTAGGCTCACAAAAAAATTTTACTAAAAGCAATTTTTTAAAACAGCAGTGAATATAATAGACTTTCCTTGGGAAAACATTTTCAAATAACATTTTAAAATACTGTGATGATTTGCTTGTTATATTGAGGTTAATAATGATGCATATATGTCTTATATGCAAAAAGTATCTCTCCAGTATGTATTTGTTGTTTTGAATTTTTTAATATGCGTAGGCCATATTCACTTTTGAATAGTTTCATTTTCATTCTCACTATTGTAGGAGCTTAATTGTAATTGTTTACAGTTATATTTAATATGTGCAAACAATATGGAAATAGATGGTCAAGTTTATTCACAGATAATTTTGAATATATTTCTTTAAGCAAACCGTTTCTCAACTTCACTTTTCCTTCAAAGAAAGAAAATTTTACTCACACAAAACCATATGAGAGCTCACATACAGTGCAGAACAAGAATTTATGTATTCTTAAGTATCCCTGTATGAGAAGGGAGTGAAATGGGACAATATAACAGTATCAGGATAACAAAAGTCAGTAATCTAGAGAGGAAGAACATGAAATAATATTTTTATTCAACTTTTTCATCTGCCTTTGTTTTTATAAAGAACTCTGGTTTGTAGATACAACGATAGGCCAAGAGCTGAGGAAGAACTCCATATGCTATGTTTAATGCTAGAAAAAGGGTTTTCGCTTCTTCGGGGACTCTGTAGACATAAGCAGTTCTAGCATGAAGAGAAGCACCGATGTGAGAAAACTGAGCCTGTTGCATTTAAAAAAAAGGAGGGGGGGAGGTAAGCATGAATTCTGTGTTCAGTTGGATTCACAATGTGTTCTGGGTGATTCATTCAGACCCTGCTTCCTGTGCCCTCAAAACCAGTACTCAAGCAATCCATAGTCTTCAGGATTTCATTGAATTTAGGGCCAGTCTTAACATAACTGTTCAAATAAAGTAAACCTTCCTTAGCGAGGCTTTATCATGCCGCTGTTTATTCACCCATCCAGTGCCCCGTACCAAACACCAGTGGCTCAGTTTAAAAGAAAAATTGAGCAAAATCTCGGTGTTTTTGTTTTTGTTTTTTTTTCTGATTTGCATTCTGGAGATCTATATAGGCCGTCACTTGTGGCTTACTAAATGTGTTCCAATAAAGATGAAGAAAGTACAGAGTTTACAAAGTGGAAATATTTTTAATACAACTATTTAAAGAGAAGCACTGAGGACCTTGGCGTCATAAATCAGTCTTTGACCTGTTCCTTGCAACAAGAGCTCAGAGCCCTTTGTTATATATTTTTTGTTGGTTTCTTCAAGCATTGGTTTTTTATGCAACTTTAAAAATACTAGTATGTAGGGTTGTCACCAACTTGGATGGGAGTAGGACTGTGGTTGCTCTTTATAAAATGGTAAATGTACCTGCCGGCAACCTTTTCAAGTTGAAGTCTAGTCTATTTAGAAGTAGAACCAGTCCCGGTCAGCATCATCTGAGCTAGAGCTTCCGGTTGGTCCGTCCATACTTGTTATAACATGCATTCAGGATGTGTCTTTTTTGATACTTTTCGTAAGCACAGGGGAAAACTGTATCAGAAAAGGCGTCCAGTGAGGATTTCTCAGGGTTCTCGTATTGTTACAAAATGCAACCCTGGACTCTGCGTTTTCATATCTCACTGAAATCTAAACTGTATGTGAATAAAGGATTGGAAATTAAATATATCCAAGTGATGGATTATTAGTTCATCAGGATCAAAGTGAAGAGAGAAGATATTATAATCCAAAGAAGTCACAGAAGAATAATAAGAATGAAAAACTAAATAATTTGCTTCACATACATACGAGTTACCTTACACTTCCTTCCGTATGAGATCAGTCTGTTCTGCTAAGTGGTTCACAGATAAAAGTGTTCCTTAGCACCTCACTTTATCATGGGAAGAAAAGGACATGCCTTCATCGTTGGCATGTGTATGGATTTCTATCAGTGACGGGTACTTTAACAGGCTACATTGTTACAAATTACTGGTACATTCTGGGGACCTCACAGTACAGTTTTGCTACTCTCTGGAGATAAGAAATTAGTGTGGTGTGTTACCAAGGACCAACACAGAAACTGTCCACCCCTGCGTTGTAACCCAGGAGGCTCTGGGAGGGCTCGGCCCCCAAACACACGTCCCCCAGGCAGATGCCCAGACGGCGCCCAGCAGATGGTAAGCATTCCACCTCCAGGCTCTGAAGACAAAAGACCTTGCGAGTTAAGGGTACTGGAGAGGCTGCCCTGAGAAGCCGCTCTTGGGCGGTTCTAGGAACACAGACCAGGAGTTTGGCCCCTGTTGCTGTTTTTCCCTAGGGCCTCTTTTGAGTAACAGTGTTTTTCTGAATAATATTAACCAAACTTCTGGACTAGAGGCCAGATATGAATCTTGATCTTCAGAAATGTGGGTTTGATGTCTCTGTCTTTAAAGACGCTTATACACATGACAAAAATCACCAGGTTTGGGGAAATGCCAACCATCCTTTGAGAGATTAATAGGAGCAATCATGCCTCCTTGCATAAGGAAACCTGCATAAGAAGTCAGTGAATTCTGTAGGCTCTTTTCCTGCACTCCCCAGTGCAGTTAATACCTCATTTTCAAAAACCGCAAAATCATGGCAACGTTACAAAATGATCATGTCCTTAGATTAGATTGTAAGCCCACCGGGCAGGTACCGTGTCTAATGTTTCGTGTGGCGCCTCTCGCATTGTTAGAGCTCAATAAACATTAAACAACAATGGTCTTGTGACTGTCAAAATACAAAAAGGTTCTACAAAGCACTTCTCTATTTTTATACCTATTTCGGTAGGCCTGTCTTCTCCAGAATTATTAACCGAGGGGTACAGATCTACGTTCCTTATGCAGAGAGGTGGCTGCAGGTGAGAAGCCTGGGGCCCGTATCCCGCAGTTTCTGGCACTGCCTGCAGCTCTAACAGGTGTGTTTACAGTGGCCACACCTCCCGCTGAGTAAGCCCCCAACCACTGCTTCCTTCCAACACCCGTGCTGTCCCCTTTCCAGAGTTGCGAAGTTTCAGAAAAACCTCCATCTCCCCGGAGAACGGTTTCCTCCCCAAGCACACAGCTGCTAAGGGCCTGCACAGGCATCCCGTGTGATGCTGCTCCCAGCACACGAGGCCTGTGGACGGCAGGGCCGAGAGCTCAGCCTGGCACCCGCTGGCTCTGGGCTCCGTGTGGCTGAGTTGTCACCCAGGCTCACAGGTACAACTTGTGGAGCCCAGACATTTCTGCCAAATTCAGTGATGTGACATTGAGCCCCTAGTCTTTCTTGCCGTTCTAAACCTGCTTTCACTTCAAGTAAATTTCAAAGATAGGCTTTGATCCTTTTATTAGTGGATGATTCGAATGGAAAATGAGGCAAAAAAAAAAAAAGGCAAAGTGGTTAAATTTTAATAACTCCCTTTTCTTATATTTAGAGACAACATGGAAAGGATGACTAAAAGTCATGATCTTGAATGCGAAAGGAGAGGTGAAAGTTACCCTGTGTCCACATAAGTATCCTAGGCCAAAACTGATGTGAGCCCTGGGACAGCAGCCAGGCTATTTGGCTGATACAAATATGAATAGTTAATCCAGAACTATGTCATTTTTTAGGGTTTTCTGAGCAGCACAGTCCAGGGGTTAAGAACACTGCATCTGAAGCAGACGGCCAGTGTCCGATCCCAGCTCCACCAGCAGCATGACCTTGGGTTAGGTATGTAACCTTTTTGGCTTCCTCATCTAGAAAAGTCGGATAATAATGGAGCCTACCTCATAGGGGTTGCTATGCCCACTCAATGAGCTGATCTTTGTGGAGTGCTTAGGACAATGCCAAGAGAATCACCTGTTCATGATCTGGAATTCTCCTTTGCTGACAACTCAGGTGGGCTCTTCTTTTTTAGATCCCCTTGCTGACCTTTTGACTATTTCAAGACGGTCTGTCTCTAATCTTAATGCTAAATAAAGATGTTTACTGATGAATTACACTGAAGTAAACTATTAAATTAGAATTTGCATTAGTATTCCCAATTATCCATGTTCTTCTGAAATCTTTCAGGTTTTTCCTAATGGTTTCCATAAGGGAAAAACATAAAATTCCCCTTCAGTAGGGTCAACTCTGCAACCAGATTCTCCACAGATAAGCTTCTAGACCCGTTTGTGAGAAAGGACACAGCACCCGCTGTAGCCAGGGAGTGCGAGAGTCTGAACTGCGAGTGGGAAGGGGCACCGCCCCACCCAAGGCGGGACTGTTCCTGCTTCCAGGGCTGTGGGTATTACTGGACGGGCGGCAGGCTCCCTGCCAAAATCCACTGGGAGTCCATCCCAAATCTTTTTCCCAGTCCCTCTGATCTTTAGGTAATAATATCTGTTACACATGGCTTCAGATGAATGAGTCTTTGAGCAACACAACGCACTTCCTCTCCAGACTCCTGTTGGGAATCTTAAACCAACGATGAGAACAGCAACAAAGACCCACGGCGCTTTCTGTGCCAGGCCCTGTTCTAAGCCTTGTACACAGAGGCCCTCATTCAGTCCCCTCCCAGCAGCTTTAGCAGAAAGCTCCTATATTATCCTCACTTTCACAGCAGAGGAATCCAAGGTGGCCAAGGTCACGAGCTCCCCAAGAACAGGCTGAGACACGACACAGTCTCTCCAGAGATTGTGCTCTTAACCATACTGACTAGATTGTTTTCTTCTAATGCTCAGTGATATTTTAGCAGAGAAAAATTCTTCAGTTGCTAGAAGGTACTAATAATAAGTGGATCTAAGCAACCTGGAATACTTTTCAAACTAGATTTGAACTTCAATCCTACAATAAGAATTTTATAGGAAAGGACACTTGAGTTATGAATAAGTCCCCACTGGTTCTTTGGTGTAAAAATGTGACCTGGTTTTAATTTAATTTGATTTTTTAACTTTTTTTAAAGATTTTATTTATTTATTTGACAGAGAGAGAGAGATCACAAGTAGGCAGAGAGAGAGGGAGAGGCAGGCTTCCTGCTGAGCAGAGAGCCCCATTGCGGGGCTTAATCCCAGGACCCTGGGATCATGACCTGACTGAAGGCAGAGGCTTTAACCCACTGAGCCACCCAGGTGCCATTTCTTTTACTTTTTGATTTATGTTTTTGATTTTTAAAGACTGCAGATTTTACAGATCCGTATAGGATCTGAAATCAGGGACCCTGTAAAGGACTTCACATGTTTTTTCCACTGACTTGTACTGATCTAGAAATTTTTCACTTTTTTTCCTATTAAATTAGAGTCTTAGGAGTCCACTAGGCCTTTCAAGAAATGCAAACTTTGATAAAATTAGTGGGATCGTGAGTGCATAAAGCTTCTAAACGAGGAATGCGGCAGTTTTAGTAGGCGAGGGATGCGAGGTGGGTTATGGAGGGTGTTTTCTGTGATCAGTGTGTCCGATGCCCTCACAAGACAAGAACTCGTTTTGTAAGCAAGTATTAGCTAGGCAGAAAACCAGTTACGGAACATTCTCATCGTGGGCACTTTGTTTCCAGGGTGATTTATAACTTTTCCTTTGGCTAACTCTAGAGTAGCTAGATACCATAGCTAGATACCAAGGCCCAGGGCAGAGTCGGGACGATCGGACACCCAGTTCTCAGACGACGCCATTTCTGGGTGGGGAGAAACCCGCTCCTGGCACTTGTAGGATCTAGTCTGTAGCCTTGGGCTACCTTGCGGCACTGGGCTGTGGTGGACAAGCCAAAGAGTTCCTGCGGGGCCGGGGCTCTGGCTGAAGCCGCTAGTGCTGCTGCCCGGAGCTGTCTGCTGGCCCCCTGGCCTTCCCAGGAGCGCTGGGCCAGAGCTGCCGGCTGGCTGCAAGCCTAGCCCTCACCAGCAGCCACAGTCCTGGGTTCGTCTTAGTGCTGGCACTTCAAGCACACCCCCAGGCCCCCAAGGTGTGACCTGCCCAAGCCTCCTGACTGCCCCTGTCCACCTGACTGGGTCCAACAGTGGCCTCACTCTTGTTAGCCTCCTCGACGGGGATAGTCCGGGTTCTGCAGCCGGGCCTGCTACGGGGCAGACACAGGTCCCCAGGCTTGGAGAGGGACCGTGACTGTCAACTCTGAGCAAGCTAATCTCGAGGAAGGGACCGGTAAGAGTGAGGCTGGTGGGAGCCCCTCTCTCCTGGGCGGCGCAGGAGAAGGAAGCCGGGAAGGCAGAAGCCAAGGTTTACTCCCCGCTGTGACCTGCCACAGCTCCTAAGAGCTCTCCCCACCTAACGCGGCCTACCCCGGCCTACCCTGGCCTTGCCCGGCACTCGCAGCCCCGCTCCTACGTTCCTGCCTCCCAGCCCCGGGGACTCTCTGGCTCCCCCGTGCCCATACAAGGTCTGGCTTTGTGCCGATGGGTAGGACTCCACCATGGCTAACGTCTGCATGAGAGGAAGGATACGGGTGGAGAAAAACGTGGGCATTGGGGTCAGACAGGATTCCAGATCCCTATTCTGCCATTTAGTAACTATGACCCCAGGCAAGTAACAAGCTGCCCTGAGCCTCCACTTTCTTATCTCTAAGTGAGGCTTTGAAAACCAAACAGAACTGCAGGGCTTGTGCTGTGTTCATCACTCCAGGCCTCCTGGGGCGCACAGGAGGACCACAGGATCTGCTTCCCTTGCACTCGTGTTGATGCCAGGCCTGGCTCCTGAAAATACCCACCATGCCCTTTGCCCAAGCAAGAAGGCAGACTTCACTGTGCTAAGCCACTGAGTATTTGCTATGCCAGGAGAGCACACAGCCTGGCCTCACCCAGACAAGTGAGCAGAACACTTAGCCTGCTCTGCCTCCACGAAGTAAGCAGACACGCGCACGGACCACTGCAAGGCCAGGAGCTGTAAGCGGCGGGTGTGCGATTACTCCGGAGACAGAGCTAACTGGACCTAGCAACGTGCTACATGTAGGGGTGAGGGCATGGCAAAGGCTGTTTGCAGGGATGGGGGACGTGGAGGATAAGTAAGGCGTAGGGAAGGTCAGGAGTGCTGTTTTAGACACTAACTCCAAGACAGCCAAGTGAAAAGACTGAGTTTAAGATTCGGTCTAGGAGGCTGGGAACAACTTGGCCTAAAGACAGAAAATTAAAAGTCAGCTTATAGGGGCGCCTGGGTGGCTCAGTCAGTTAAGCATCTGCCTTCAGCTCAGGTCATGATCCTAGGGTCTCGGGATCAAGTCCTGCATCAGGCTCCTTGCTCAATGGGGAGCCTGCTTCTCCCTCTGCCCGCCACTCTCCTTGCTTGTGCTCGCTCACTCTCTCTCTCTCTCTCTCTCTCTCTGACAAATAAATAAAGTTTTTTAAAAGTCAGCTTAGAGTTGCTATTGAAAGATACTGGCCTGAGGAATCGGCTGTTCCAAGGCCTGCAAAGAGCAAATAGTAGTTCTCTTCCGTCTTAAGTCCTTCAAGGAAAGGACAGGAACCCTTACTTCCAGATGCTGTACCAACTTTTTTGATACTAATATTCTAATTCTGTAATTGAGAATTACCTCAGACTAGAAGGGTTTAGCTCAAAGTGTTAACCCCTGACTGCCACAGCTGTTTTCCAGCCTGTAAACACCAGGGCGTCGTGCCGCCGTCCCACACCAGGACTATGACTGACACTTTCCAGATGAGCCTTGTTCTGCTTGAAAAGAGCAAGATGCAAGAGTGACTTTACAAGGTAGATTCATTTGTTTCTTTTTTATTTATAGTGAGAGGGGGTGAAGATAAAATTACTGGATAATTTTCTTCCCTGTTCATAAGATCAGTTTATCTTGCCAACTGTTAGCTTGTAAAAATGCACTTTGAGTAAGAATGCGCCTCCGTAGATAATTTTATTTCCAGCTCAATGAAGTAAGCATTCACTGAAAGCCCACTAAGTGTTCCGTGCTAAGAGGCCAGGGGCTGGACTGAGTAGTGGGGGGAAGGAGAGGCATGACTGGGAGCAGAATGTTCTCCAACCCGGTTTCCCTGGCTCAGTGCAGGGTAGCACAACAGAATTCTGACATCTTTGGTGTGAGATAGACACCTACAAGGTGACAGCTCTCCATTCTTGTTAGTAGCCATGGTGTTCAGAGACGGGGAAACCACCCCAGGGAACCAGCAGGGCCCCCTGCTGGGCGTGTGACCTGGGACAGATCGCTAACCTCCCTGGGCCTCAGCTTCCTCACCTGTACAGCCGGGTGACACACTGCCACATGGTTATAGCGCGATCTCAATGAAATGCATATGCAGAAACGCCTCCCAAGGCACTGGGGAACTGAAGGGGACGAGTCTAGGACCTGCTTCCCACCCCCTGGAAACACCAAGCAGAGATGTTTCTCAGATTCCCAACAAGGACAGCCAGACCCGCAGCGGACGTTGTGGACAGAGCGTATGTTTAGTACCTGAGCTAGACCTCCGGCGTGCATCAACGTGACGTCAGGCATCCAGGAGCATCCCGGAACCACCAAGCCATAGAGCGCAATCACGAAGTAAGGGACAGAGTAGAACAGATACGCCAGCATCTGCATTGAACAGAGAAATAACATCGTCAGCAACTTCACAGTCAGCCCCGCCTGACGAAAAGCACAAAAGATGAACGTTTTTATCTCTGAGAATATTCACTCCCGTTTCCTACATGGGTCCCCGTGTTCCCATTCTTAAAGAACCGAACACCCATGTTAGAAAGACCATGGACTTCATAACTACTTGACCTGGATTTTAGGATAAGCAGCGGGATCCTTTAGGTAGGGCTCTTGAAATTGCGTGTAAAATCGGCAGAGCTCAGCCGGGCAATCCAAAGCAATCTGGGAACAAAAACAAATTCATTACATAGTTGCAATCACATCGGATTCTCAGCGCTCGCTGGGAGGGCTAAAGGTTCCAGGTTCAGCCACAGGCCATTTTAACAGCATATGGTAGAAGCTTATCAGTAGGAGGGAAGAGAAAAGCAATGGTCTGCAGATCTGCTCTGAAGAGACGAAGAGGTTAAGTGGAGCAGGAAATACGTGATGCCCTATCCCTGGGTGCTCCTTCAGTGCTAAGACTCCCACTGACCAAAACACTGCTCCCACCAGATGACCAGTTTCACTCTTCCCGGGAAGAAATAACTAGCCAACTGTTCTGTGCGGGAAGAAAAGGACATTGCTAGCCCAAACTCCTCTCACTATGCTTTGCAGAATTTAAAACACAGCCTCCTGCGCTCTGCAGCGCCTCACAGAGCACATGGCCTCTGGGGGCAGTAAAGGGTGAGCCGAAAGCAGGGTCCTACGCGAAGCCACGATCCGTGTCCGCCTTGAGAGGGAACAGAGCAGAGCAGAGTTGGTCACAGCAGACTCCTGGCCATGGAAGGGACACAGTCTCCCTGGCACATCATCAGGTCCCTCTGAGTCACCTCCCTCCTGCATCGCTCGTGTCCTAGGTCATAAATGTCCTGCCTAGATGACATCTGGGAACACGGGCCAGTGACAGAATGGGTACAAACAGGCCCAGGCAGAAAAGCCCATCTGCAAAAGTCCCGCCCCCATGCCCACATCTTCCTTGTGCACAGAGGAGCGGACACGGCTCTGCAGGGATACAGCCGGGGCTCGTTTTTGTTGTTGCTGTTCTCTTCTCTTTGGGACACAAACTAACCAAGGAACAGTTTTAAGGTTGCCTGGCTGGCTCCGTTGGTAGCACGAGTGACTGCTGATCTTGGGGGCCTGGGTTCAAACCCCATGTTGGGCATGGAGATTAGTTAAGAAAAACGAAACAGTTTTACTGCTCTGTGTTCTGAGCAAACCCTCTGGCCCTGCCTTCTCCTTTACATCCCTTCCCTGTGCCACTCCTCCCATTAGCTGACTCGACTCCGGGAAATTTCTGATGATCTACTGCTGGAGACCAGAGCTTCTTGCTCTGAGCCCAGCCAGCCGCACAGAGTATACGGTTCAAGGACCCCAAGATAGTGGGTCAGGTACATCAGCTCACACTTGCTGTGCAAGCCAGCAGGCTGAGAGCGGTCACTGTCACCGAAACGGAGTATAATTACTCATATGATGCTGACCACTGGAATTTGTTTCCACTAAGAACAAACCATGATACTTGGCATTGCGAAGGACCGTCCATCAGTAAAGATCGTAACTAGTAACCCTGTGTGGCCAACCCTTACCGCGTCTAACGCCCTCTGTTAAGTGTTTGATGTTTGTTCTCTCATTTAATTGTCAAACCAGCACCGCAAGGTAGGTGCTATTACTTTACAGCAGAAGAAACTGAGGTCAGAGAGGTTAAGTCATTTTTCCAAGGCCACACAGCGGGTAAACAGCCAGGACTCTAACTCCTTGCTCTGGACCCCGCCTCACTACCCTGTCCCTACCCCTGAGAACACAAGGCATGCTCTGTGCCACAGTGTCACTGGCAACTTCAGGAACGACCCTTCCCAAAGGCAATGACATTTAAAGCAGAAACAACAAAGAAACCAAAAGAATGAGACTCTACGAGCTCATTTTTCAGGGACCCTAACATCGGGGAAGGAAGAGGCTTCTGGGTGGGCTTAGTGCAAGGAGGCAAAGGAGGTGCGCGTGGCAGCCCAGCGCCCCCCACCCCTGAGGGAGGAAGGCTGGGGGTCGACCTGGCGGGTGGGAGAACGGCAGCAAGCCGGGCCGGGTTTTGTCGGGGCACTAGGACTCCTAATTAAATATATGTTTTCTTTAACGTTCCTGTGATCTGTGCCGCTTACCAGTCCTCTAAACAGACAAAATCCAGTTGCGAGGAGGAGACACACGACCAGCATTAAATCCAATGGTCTTCTCATCAGGTCCTTTGCTTGGGCTTCGTGAATGACCTAAAACAAGAGTTTGTACCAATGAGCAGGCCCCGAGCGCCAGAGAAGCATCAGAGATCCACGGACGCGGAAGCGCTCTAGTGCTAGACGGGGAGAGAATTCTCTGGATGGGGGATTCGTGTCATAAACCACCGGCCGCCCTACCTAGGAAAATCGTGTCCCGCCTCCTCTCTGCTTCTGCTCTGCTCATGTGAAATGAGGAGATGGGGCCAGGCTGTCTTGAAGGGCCCTTTGCGCACTATGAATGGTTTTTTGTTTTTTTCTTGCAGTAACAGTTTTGTGATTATAAATGTAAGATATGTTCATTTAAAAAGGTCAACCATAAACCCAGCACATTATTAGGAGCCACTCTCTTTCTCTGGAGATATCCATCTACTTACCTATCTGATCTACGTGTATTTTTTTTACAAAATTATGACTTTATGTATAACCAATTTTGTATTTGTCCTTTTGATACTTAACATCTACCTATTTTACAAGCACTTTCCCACGTTACTAAAACCTCTCCTGACACGTTGTGTCACACGGAAGCACTGCATTTCAGCCCTTCTCTCACTGTCGGACATCTGGGCATTTGCACCATTCATGTGATGATGAGCGATCCTGTATGAAAATCTTGACCACATCTCTCTGACGACCGTCTGAGGACAGGGCCCTCGACGTGGGATTACTGGGTAACGGGGTGAAATCTGCTAAGGCTAATGACAGCCCCAAACTGCCCCACGGAGCGAGTGTGGATTTATGTTCCTGTCCATGCTGTGTGACGATGGCCATTTCTCCCTGGCCATCACTGTGTTTGGACATTTACAAAATGATATTGAACAGTCTTCTGTGTCTCACGGCAGGAGCGGTGTTGACACACTGATGCGGAGACTTTTTTAAAAGTGGTGGAGCCCAAGGCTGTGGGTACTTCCTGCTGTTTAACAACCACCTCATTCCTCAAAAGGATGTCAGTGTGTCACCCTGAGTGTGCACAGCAGGTGTCTAATTGTTTACAAATGAGGTCTATAAATTACAATGCATTTAATGAACTCCACTAAGTCTTACAGTCAACCAAATAATCAGGTTCTGAAGATCGCTAGTAATTCACGTTCCATGTTTCACTTTGCTTTATGGATCTTGCTTAAGGGTCTAATACCTATAAGAGGAAAGGACACTTAGATGTCACTAGCTTAGAAGTGAAGACCTTACCAGAGTACCTGCCCGGCCAGCGCTGCTTCACCTTGACCGCCTTGGCCGTGAATGCAAGGGAAGTGTCTTAGAAGACGTCCCATAGCCAGTCTCCGGATGCCTGGATCCCTTGGTAAATTAGACCCTGAGGCTATGTGTGCCGCCCTGCCCAGCAGGACCCCTACAGCCTCCCCTTGGGGCGGTAAAGGCACTGGCTTCTCGGCAAGGGGTGCCCAGAGGCCTAAACACCAGGCCTTTAAGCGCCCCAGACAAACCACACAGTCCACGCACTAAAGCAGGATCTGATGGGAACGGCCAATATGACAGGTGGCAGAGAGAGTTCCAGAAAGCCCAGACCGTCCAGCTGAAGCAGATGGGTTCAGACAGAAACAGACCATCTCTGCCACTGTAACTGAGGTGTGACCAGTGCACAGAATCAGCACCGTCAAATGGACCGGCCCGGATGGTCCAGTGCGCAGAGGCACGGTTCGAGCCAGTAGCCAGGAGATGACAGCGAGCCCCGTGAGTTTGGGAACAGGTCACAGTTAACATAATAAAATCACCTTTGAGGGATAATTATAACTTTCTGATGGCTGATTATAGATTCTGAAACCAGCCCAAACAGGAAGACAAGTATACGGTATGCTTAAGATAAAAGCAGGACAAATGCGGGCTCCATACTTTCCTATTTAAAAGAAAGAAAGAAAAAGTCAAAGTCCAAAATTTGCCAAAAAGCATCTCTAAACAGGAGTAACATTCAGGACACTCATCTCAAGTAATTTTAACACTGTGCTGTGGACCAGGCAATATTCTTTATGAGACCAAATAAAACCCGTCAATTTAAAACTACAAGGTGCTCATTACCAGCATGTCCTAGCCACCGTATTTTTTAAAGAATATTTAATATAATGCCCTGATTGTTTACACACATAAACGATAACCTCTTTCACGGTAGCTTTCGAGAGCCTTAATACTCTTAATACTAAATAAAATACATTTATCGAATGTGTCAAAGAGTTACATATGATAAAAAAAAAAGTTGTAAGAAATATTTGCACACTGCAGGGAGCCACAGACACAAATACCCCCTCTAAATCCTAAATTTCAGGAGTCGCTGATGGTCTCGTCGATCAGTGTTCACTTCTGAAAGTTGCTCAAAAGCATTAACAGGTGAGATGACAGAGGGGAAAGGAGGAATTTGGCATACCGCTATCTGGTAGGCTTGGAGTAACAACCAAGACAGTTTCTCTGTCTATGAACATTGTTTCAGAAGAGCAGAATGAATTTTAAGGTGAAGTTTCTTACCCACAATGTTTCCCAGCACAAAAACGACAATGCTCATGATAATAGATCCAACCCAATAGAGGCCAATGGTTCTATAACTTTCCCTGCAACGAAAAAATCTTGGCTTAGTGCACTCGAGTTAGGATACAATTAGCAAAAGATGACCCACGTGATTAGCATTACCCTAACTAGTAAAGTGTGCGAACCGCAGCTTACTGAACCGATAGTCATCGGTCAACCCCAAGGGGCCCTACTGGTCAAATTTCATCCCCATCTGTGATACGACAGAACCCTATTTGTGTCCTTTTGAATAGGAAGTACACTTCTACCCTGATCACCTGTTACACTACAACAGGTCAGTCACGGTCCAGGGAAGCCTGCGTTTCACTGTGTCCTGTGAAGCTCACGGCAGGGAAGGAAAAAGAAGGTTCGAGACAGAAAGGAAACTGGACCCATGCTTTAAGGCATTGTAAGTACGAGTAACAGGATGTTAAGTGGACTTTCCCTGGTGTCAGAAGGATGAAGGGTTAAGGGCCATCCAGCCTGTGTCCTAACGGAGCGGCGGGCACAGGCCCCGAATCCTCACAGGTGAGGGTGGCCAGAAGCTCTTCCGGCTGGTACCCCTGCTCATCCCCACTCTGTAAGGGGCGATGAGAGACCGCAGGAAGATTCTCTGAAGTGGGGCAGAGGGGCCACACTGCACTTTCTGCCCTTCCCCACGCCCCAAGCCAAGGGCTGCTACTTCCCAAGAGGCCAGTTCACGACGGCTGGGATTGTCAGCAGGACCGGCGAGAACCCTCCCAGCAGAGATTAACGGACCCAAAGAAGCCCCAACCCACTCCCGGCCGCCTCCAAGCAGAGCCCAGGCATTCTCAGAAATACCTGATGTGCACCCTGGAGGCTTGGGAATGTTCGTGAAGAGACAGGCTAGGACCTGGAAGAGTCCCAGAATGACTAGAGCTGTCCCTGGGCTCATGACTCAGGGCGCAGAGGCTCGGGGCAGGCGGTGGGTCGAGGTGAATTTCCACCTTGTCTGGGCAAGAATCCATCGTTTTCTCCAACCTGGAGCCATGGGGAGGCCTGGGAAGGTGGCCAGGCTTGAGAGGATCCTGCCCCAAAGGGTACACGTTCTTGGGGACAGGGACGCCAGCAGAAAGCAGCAGTGGGCATGCCACCACGGGCAGGGAAGTCCCACGAATTCAGCCAGTGAGAGCACCGCTCACGTGAGGGCTCTGTGCATGCAGTGTCCTGGGCTGGGGTCTCCGGAGAGCGCACCTCCGTGCCCCACACGACAGGCCTGACATATCAGAACTGAGGGCACAGATCCCCAGAAACCAGAAATCCTCACGTAAGACTGCCCTTGTGCCTCAGCCCCATGTGCATGAACATGTGAGGAGCCCACTGGAGACGAGACTGTCCTTACAAGACAACAGTCAGAAGCAGAAGGGTCTGCCCAAGCTGTCCCTATGGCTGGGGATCGTCCAAAGGGACATGTTCAAAGGCAGCGGTGCCAAGGAAAGACCTTGTGTTGACTCCATCTAGCCTGTGTCCCTGGAGCGCATCTCCCCATTCCTGGGTACCTGTTCGTGCCTTTGCCCCACGTGTGGTTTCCTTACACAAGCGCGTCTCGGCGGCTAAGCTGACACAGGGACACACAAGCAGACGGACGGACTTACTCCCAAGCGATGGCCGCCACCATCACCAGATACATCAGATAATGAGCGGAGCCGTCCCAGTAGCAGATCATGTGCCCGTACGCCGTGTTCAGATACGGCTCACCCTAAGGAGAGAGTCAAAGAGGGGTCGGCTTTCAGTCGGACGCAGACCGCCCCGCACACACCGGCCCGGGCTCCGAGGAGAGCGGAGCAGGGAGCTGGCTTGTGTTTGTCCGCGGAGACGAACCGAGGCCGAATCCCAAACTTCACCCTGAAGCTGCTATTGCTGAAGAGCCTGCCTGGCCATCGTCTGATGCATTGGGTGACACACGTGGGCGGTGACACGAGGCAGGTGACATCACGGGCAACCAGGGTGGCACAGCTAACTCACGAGGCTGAGTCAGATCTGTGACCAGGTGCATGGCTCTGGCCAGAGGGGCTGCAGAGAGGACCCTGCCCGCCCAGCCACCAGCTGCCCCACATGCCGATCCCTAGGCTCGTGGGGCTGAGGCTGCTCCGCACCTGGGCTCTCAGACAGACGGGCACCCCACCACCCTCAACCTTCCCAGCCATCCTACGGGACACACACAACTCCGTCCACTCTACGCACGAGAAAACAGGGCTCCGAGGGGTAGGACCGGCCTAAGGTCACATGGCGAACATCAGCATGCCATCAAAAGCCATACTTCTGAGAAATTAATTTTATCAACCTGAGATTATGGCATGCGCTACGTTTCCCTCCTCCAGACGGCTCGCAGAAAGTCACAGTCCAACTCGCAGGAGGTCTTAGTGTCACTCTGACACCCCCTCGTTCTCCTTCCTCCTCTCCTCCATGTTCATGCTCTCCTGCCCTGAGTATCCCCCGAGACGCCCTCCGTCCCGTCTGCAGCAGCCATGAGGGGCCCCACTGAAGCCTCACGCTCCCGGGGCAGGGACAGCCCTGTCGTCTGTCCCCACGAATCAGATGGAATAAAGACCGTGGAGGAAGTGGCAGTAACACAGCAGCTGGACTTGTGTGTTCATGCCTGGCCCGCATCCTCTCTCTCCAACGTGCTCTGGCGGGACAATCCAATCCAATGTCATGACTTCATTTCCCGCCGACACACCAGGCCCTCGGAGCCAGAGCTGGCCTCTCCTGGCAGCCGGATGGGCGTCTTGAACTGGACGGCCCGCGGGCCCTCCCAACCCCCTGAACTCCTTTCCCTCCGCAGTTCTGCCCTCTGCCAAGCCCAGTACCCAGCCTGCCTGGCTCGAAGCCACAGGCCGTCTGTGTCGTTCCTCTCTCCTCTGCAGTCTGTGGGCAAGTCCGGTCAATTCTCTCTCTCTGAGCTCCCCATGGGCCACCCTCCCTCTCCGCAAGTCCCGTTCAAGCCCTCGGTGCCCCTCACGGAGCCAGTCCCGCACTGTCTCTCTGTCCCCTCCTCTCCAATCCAAACGAAGGGTCATGACGCCTGGTTCTTAACACGTTGCTCTTGTGCTCAAAAGCCTCCCGAGGCTAGGTGTCGCCTGCAGGCCCGGCCCTGCCTCCCCCATCTGGCAGCCGGGGCCCTGCCTCCCCCATCTGGCAGCCGGGCGCCCAGAACCTGGCCCTGCAGGCCTGCGCAGAGCAACACCCCCTCCCACCTTCTCACAGCCTTTGTGCCTCACCGCTTGCCACCGTCACCAGCCCAAAGTCTGCGCCCTTCAGCAGCCACCTCGTCCCCAAAACCTCCCTGTCCCGGACTCAGGAGGTCCCAAGCTCTCCGGCTCTTCCACCTCCCTCTTGGCCTCACAGTCCGCTGAGTGCGGGGGCTCTTCTGACCATGGCCTCCACTCATTCCAGCCTCGGCCATCCTAGCGCTCCCCCTCCTCCCCAGCAAGACTTCAGGTACCGTGTATACTCTGAAGGCCCCCGAACCTCTCCGTCAGGAATGTTCCTCAGAGCTCGAGACCTGCAAAGCCCTGCCAACAGAGACATCTGCCGGATGTCCCTCCACCACCCGAAACGCGACATGTCCCCATATGAACTGTGCGTCATCCCTGCACACCTGCACCCGGGCTGACCTGGGGAGACCCCTGCTGTTTCTCACCTCCAGGCTCTTGCTCAAGCCGTCCCTTCTCCTTGGAGGGCCCTCCACCCCCTCGTCCATCTGGAAAATGTTCACCCTCCAATGTCATTGCCATTTAAAAAACTGCTAGAGCAGCGTCACTAAATCAATGGGGCCTCCCCTGACCGCTTCCAGCCCCAGCTCTTCCCTGCGTACAGGCAGACCTTGGCTTTATGGCGCCTGCAGACATGGTGTTTTCACATGCTGAAGGTCTGCGGCAGCTCCGCGTCACAAGTCTCTCAGGAAATGCCGTTCCTCCAACGGCATTTGCTCACTTTGTGTCTCTGGGCCACGTTCGGGCAATCCTGATGATATTTCAAACTTTTCCATTATTATATCTGTGATGGTGATCTGGACCAGTGACCTCTGATGTTACTGCTGGGACCGTGTGCGGGAGCCACGCGTGACGGCGACTGTCGGGTGTGGTCTGACTGCTCCGCCTCCCTGCAGCCCGCCCTCTCTCTCCCTGTCCTCAGCAAACTGTTGTCGCATTTTAAGAAACTGTCACAGCCACCCCAGCCTTCAGCAGCCACCATCCTGATCAGTCAACAGCCAGCGACTTCACGGCAAAGACCCTCCACCAGCAAATAGATGAGGACTTCCCGAAAGCTCAGATAATAGCAAGTTTTTAGCAAAAAAAAGTATTTCAATATTAAGCTATATGCGGGCTTTAGACTGTAGATCTCACACTATAGCATCGTGTAAATATAACTTCTAGATGCATCAGGAAGCCAAAAACTCCACGTGGCTTGCTGTGCTGTGAAATTTGCTTTATTGCGACCGCCAGGGACCAAACCCGCACTGTCTCCACAGTGGGCCCTGACTGCCCAACTCCTGTCTGTGGGACAGAATTCCCCCTGTAATCCCTCGGGTTTAACAATACTAGCATCTTCCCCAAAGCAGGAGGCAGATGTCTTCTTCGACCGTCTCCCCATCACCCCCAATTTATCCCTGAGTCCCATCCCCTCCAACCACTCAGAGCCTCTGGAATTCTTCCCTCCTCCCCACCTCCTCTGCTTGGCTCTGCCTAAGCCATCCCCACACCCTTGCCAGCCCTGCAAAGCCTCCTGACTTGTGTCCCAGCTCCCAGCCCTGACAGTCGCCTTTAAGCCCATCCTTCCCAGAGCTGACTGCATTGTTCCCTGACTTAAAATCTTCCCTCAAATGTGAGATAAAGTCCAAATTCCCTTTGCTTAACATACGAAGCTCCCCATTGTTTGAAACAGAGATGCAAGACTACTTTCCTGTGTGACCCTGAGTAAGTTACTTAACCTCTCGGGCTGGATTCCTCACCGCATGAAACAAGGAAAGAGGACTAGCTCCCTCAAGGGCAGGTAGCCCTACAATACGATGACAGGGAGGGGAGGATCTTCAACACCAAATGGCTCCCTTCAGTGCCTCGGTGTTCTCTAACACACCTAAGAACGGCCTGGGCTTCTGGATATGGTAATGTTTTCATAAGACACCAAACACTAAACTCCTTTAGAGTGTACCACTTATATTAAATAGAAGCAAAGGAGAAAGTTAATGGACCAGGTGTGAGGCAGGAGGGATCAGACCCAACGCTGAAAAGTGCCTCCCATGATTTAATCCCAACTTTCTGCCTCACTCTCCACAGGAATAAACCACCTACGTCTGTGGCAGTAAATGAAATACCATGGGTCCTACCCCCTTACACTAAATGCAGGCATCTCCTCTGTCATCTCTGAGTGACGGGACGTGGGTGGCCGACCCTTTGGCGTAAGGCTAAGGTCACTAAGCGATTCCGTACCTCTCTCAAGTAGTGCGTCATGAACCCATCAATGACTCCGTCCTGTTCCAGGCCTATGATGAGGCTCACCACGCTGGTGAATCCAAACACCGCATACACTAGAGCAAAGGAAGAAGCCGTTATTTATGTCTTTATCTCTCTGCCAAGTAAGCTCTACACCCACTGTGGGGCTTGAACCCAGAACCCCCGAGATCAAGAGTCAACACGCTACATGCCTGAGCCAGCCAGGTGCCCGGATTTAAAAAGCAGCAGCTCGGGAGGCAATGACGTAGAGCTTGGCATTCACCGAAAACAGTGACTTGGGCTTCATCTTTTCCAGAAGACGCTGTGGGCACCGTCAAGATGGACCAGCAGAAGGACCCTCCTGCACAGAAGGACCCTTGCCCTTGTCATGGATCTCCGCATCATTACCGGAGTGCTCTTTGAGGGGACACGCCCCGCGGGGACAGAATCACACACCCACCCGCTAACTCTGTGCCACAGGAGCCTACCCGGCCACCCCATCCATCCTCCACAACCTCCCAGTGGCTGCCATGGGCCACACCCGCATCTCCCCTGCAGCCAGCTCGCCCGATGCTCGCCTGTTCCACACTGAAGAGCCCGAAGACGGACAGTGACCGACAGGCAAGTTGGAAGAAGAAAGGCCGGTGATTTTTAAAATGGGTACAAGACGGCACATTGAATGTGAAACAAGCCAAGCCACAGCGTCTCAAGAGATTCTCACTCAGGTTGTGAGACTCTCCCAAATGGCCCACGAGCTCCCAGCAGCAACCAGCTACGGAACGAGGCCTTTACACGGCAAGGGGTCAAACTTAGCGCATGTTAGTTTATCAGCAAGGCTGCATTTTCAAGCTGTATCCCATCACAAGCCATGTGGTAGGCACGGGCAGGACAAGAATTCGAAGGTGGACAGAAGAACAGCCATGATAGAATCAACGGGAGGTTACTTCCCAGAGAAGAGGAGCCGGCCTCGCCGAGTCCACAGCCGGAGCCGCGGCGTTCACATCCTCTCCAGGCTGCAAGGCCCACGCGGGCGCCCTGCCCCGCAGACCCAGCCTCCCCGTGCCCTCCCGGGCCTGTGCTCCAGATCTTGCTGTCAGGATCAGCCACCAAATGTCCCCCCAAAAGAAGGCACTCGCATCAGATCACTGAGGCTGACGGGGGCGTCCTGTGCTGGGTCTGAGGCAACCAGCCTGGCCCCAAGGATGTAGCATGCTCGGGCTAGGACACAGACGAGACCAGACGGCTGCGGGTGTCAAAACCATGCTCAGTCCTGGGGGGCTGGGAGAGACCCAAGTCAGCTAAGCGTGAACTCCACGGAGTGGGTGGAAAGACAGCAGCAGGAGAGCGCTCTTGAAAGCTGGGCTGGGGTCAGAGCGCAGGCAGGTGGTGGGCGGCAGGAGAAGCGATGTGGGCCTTGAACTCAGGGCCAACTCCTCTACCCCCTGGTTGTCCAACCTCAGACAAGTCACATCATTTACCAAAGCCTCGGGGTCTTTTACACGCAAGGTGGGAGAAATTAGTTACTTACAATTCTTTCCCTCCCCACCTTTGCCAAGACCCACAGTGGGCAGAGAATATTCCCCATATGCCACTGATAATGGATGCAGCCACACAATGTGGTTTGGCCAGTGGAATGTGCATGAAAGTGACAATGGCCACGTCCCCGTCTCCTCTGCCATGAGAAAGGCCCACCGGGGGGAGCTGCTGGTCCAACAACAAGGAGACGTGGGGCAGCTCTGGACGTGGCCCACAGCCTGACGCACAGCAGTCCCAGCCGATGGGCAGACCCGTGAGCACGGACACTAAATGTTTACACCCAGGACTGGAAACACCTGGAGAGTCCGTCGATGGACGAATGGATAAAGAAGATACATGTAAACACAATGGAGTATTACTGAGCCGAAAGAAAGGAGGAGGGAAGTCCTGCCGTTTCCAACAACCTGGTGGACTTGGAGGGCGTTACGCTAAGTGAGATGAGCCAGCAGAGAAGGACCGAGGCTGTATGGTGTCCCTTACGGACATGGAACCCGAGCAAGCTGAGCTCACGGGAACAGAAGCTGGAACGGTGGCTGAGCGGCTGGCGAGGGGGGACACAGGGAGATGCTGGTCGAGGGGTACAGACCGACAGTGACAAGATGAGTAAGAGGTCAGCGCGGCGACGGTGGTTAACGAGGCCGCACTGTACACTCAGTGTTCTCACTGCAGGCCATAAAAGGTGATGATGGGACGTGAGGGACCCTACGGTGAACGAACTTGTCAGGGTCACGGTCTCACGGTGTGGCCGTGTGTCACACCATCCCAGGGTAGCCCTCACACCCGCCCAGTGTCGGATGTCAAGGGTGTCTCAGCAAAGCGGCGGAAACATGGGGAACGTCTGTTGCTGCTGCAGGACACTGAGGTCTGGGGGGTCTGACCCGCAGCCTCACTAACGCAGACACGGAACCAGGGAAGGCCCAGCCCAGCTCCCAGCATGGGAAGCGCTCGAAGGCGGGGACGGCTTTGCCGGAAGCAGCGTGGGGCAAAGAGGAGCCTGGCTTCTGGGGTCAGTGACGTTCTCACTGCATGACCTTGACCACCTGTCTCAGCGGCCCCGAGCCAGCTTCTTGGTCTGTAAGTGGACAGGACTTGTCGTGAGGATTAAATAAGCTAATACGGGGCCAGCGCTCGGGGCCACACCAGGCACGTAGTAAGTGCTGGATCGGGGTGTTTTTATTTATGTAATGTACATGGGTATTTTTCAGGCACTGCTTAAATGTTCGACTAATATCACTGTGCGCAGCAACCCCCACGGGGAGCGTTAGTATTTCCTCATCATGCAAACGTGCGGACCAAGACACTGTGCAGCTCAGCTCCATGCCAGGTGGAGGGAGCGGCCAGAAGCGAGGCAAAGGCAGGAAGCCCGGGAAGGAGCTACTGCAAGAGGTCAGAGCACGGCTGGGGGTGGGGGCAAGGAACACAGGCGCCTCCTGCCTGGCCCTGGCATTGACCTTCTGCCACGATCCCCGCTGGGGAAGGGTGGGGTCCACGGCCCAGAGGAGGTGTTCGTCTAGAGGGGAGGACTGTTGCCCTGAAACACTCCTGCTTCCTGCCGCTTCCCCAGTGGGGCTCAGGGTACCGGAGGCGGACGACTTCTTCACGGGGGGACATGAGGAAGGCGAAGGCCGAGCGCTGCGCCGTGAGGGGGACACCGACCGCCTCCCTCCCGCGGAGACGTACCATAGAACAGTGGGTCCCGGGGTGGTTTTCTTTTGACCAGGACACGAGCCAGCAGGGCCACCAGGAGCAACATGAGGGCAGCAACCGCCACGACTGTCCAGGAACTGCAACGACCAGCACAGGGAGGCAGCCACTTACCGAAATAAACACGTGGATACATGGAATTTCCTGGCTGTGAATGCTCTCGCCCCACGTCTGCCTCTGCCTCCAGCTCCAGTGCCGCAGGCTGAGCTGGGTGGCCTGCAGCCCTCTGGCCCCTGCGGGTCACCCGTGCGACTTTCAGGGACTGGAAGCACCAGCTCCCCACTCGTCCTAACCTGAGCGCCTGCACCCTGCACGCCATCCCACGCCCCCTGAAGACGGTCCCTGCCCCACCCCCCCAGCTCACCCCGGCACCTCCAAATCCTGTTCCCCGGTGACTGACAGGCCTAACCGCTGAATCTGTCGCCTCTCTCAGGGCCGGAAACCCTTGGACTGCGCTCGAGGGAGCACAGAGGAGTCTCAGCTACACACACCTTCCAGAAAGACCAGGAGGAAGGGCCCCAGGCCACGTGTATAATCAAAGGGACCAAAGGATAAGGCCAATCCCAGGAGGGAGGAGTTTGGGCCAGAGCTGCGGCCCAAAGGAAGGAAGCCAGCTCCCCACACCAGGGCCATCAAGCCAGAGTCCAACCCCACACCCAGAAGGTAAGGGGAGGCTGGGGTGGGCACAAAAGACATGGTACCAAGGAGACCAGGGTCCAAGGCCCGTTCCCCATGGGGCAGCCCTAGGGCGTGAGGCTTGGTTGAGTTAGCAGTCGAGATACCTGGAGTCTAGGACCCCCTTTGCCACTGCCCGACTGAGCAACTTGAGAAAGCCATGTCATTTCATCATCTGCTTTATAACTCACTTTAAAACACATTAAGGATAAAATGTATTATGTACCCATGCGGGCCAGGCACTGTGGATGAATGGAGGTCATCCATCCCTGTCTCATGGAGGGTCCAGTCTCAGTGGACTCTGAGCGCTCTCACCCAGGAGGTCACCTCCAGTCCTGCAGAGATGCGCTCTCTCTCACACCCCGGCACCCAGCAGGGCTGGCAGGGCTAGACACAGGATCACGTGGCCCTCTCCAATGGTCCACTATACCACAGCCTCCTCCGCTGAAACCCCATCCACACCATCACAGCCCAAGAGCATCTTCTGGATCACCTTTGCTATATGCCCCTGGGGCTTCTGGAAAGTACCTTCCTCAGTCACAGCTTCCACCAGGACCCAACAATACCTACCAACAGCTGAGGGGCAAACTCATGCTGAAGCTCGCTCCACCCCCCCCCCCCCCCCCCCAGCTGGAATGGGGGTTAGAAACCTGCCCCCAGCGTAAGAAAGCTCAGTGAGGAGGTGGGAAGCGAGCCACCCAGGCTGCAGGTAAATGGGCCCCCAGGAGACTGGTTGCAGGTGCGGGAGAGCTGCATCCCCAGCTCTCCTGCAGAGTCAGGGAATGGGCTCTGGGCCTCAGGAACACCCAGATTTCCAAATGCCGTCCTCCACCTATAGAATCAGAATCCGTTGGGCTGGGGCAAGGGAATATGCAGCTTTTTTTCAAGATTCCTGGATGAGTATGACAAAGAAAGTCCGCCTGAGAACTCCTGTCAGGGTATTTGGGAATTCATGAATGGATGAAGGAGGGAAGTAGGGGGAGAAGAAGCCAAAAAGGAGAAATGGATGGATGGTGGATGGTGGATAATGAATGAATGGACAGATGGTGGATGGCGAATGGTGAATGAATGGATGGATGGATGGTGGATGGATAGATGGATGGATGGTGGATGGATAGATGGATAATAGATAGTGGATAGATGATGAATGGTGGATAGTGAATGGATGGATGGATGGACGATGGATGGATATATGGTGGTTGCATGGATGGATGGATGATGGATGGCAAATGAGTGGATGAATGAATGAATGAATGATGGATGGTGAATGGTGGATGATGGATGATGGGATGGATGGATGACAGATGACGGAAGGATGACACACTTCTATGATAAGAATGAGGATGACTGTGTCAATGTCCAGGTAGGATGCTGAAGTAGGAAATTTCTAGTGGTGCACATCCGTGGCTCTTCCTGTAGAGATAAGCCAAAAGAGCAAAGGATGGAGGAGGAAGCTGATGTGGGTCAGGAACATGATGCTGGACCGAAGCATCCCGTGAGAAGCGAAGAGGTCCGGTGTGCTATGTAAGCTGACAAGCACTTTAATCACAGCCCAAGGCAGGTGGTGACCAGGAAATGGCCCCCATCCCTGCTCGTACAAGGACCTATGCACCGTCGCACAGCGGGCGCCCTCAGGGGAGTGTGAGGGTCGTGTAAACTGCGCTCTTACAATTGCCACCTGGCAGAGGAGCAAGGAGCGAAGAGAAACTGGGGCCACAGATTCCGTGCGTATCCCAGGGACCACCAAGTGCAGGACCAGCTCAGAACTGAGAGAGAAGGATCTGGCAGGACTTGGTGGGGGCGGGGGGCTGCTGAGACACAACAAAGGGTAAAAACTTTGCTAGTCTTGGACTGGGGCGAGGGGGTTACTGATGCCCTTCCATGAAGGGGATGTGTATGGGTGAGCATGAGAAGAGAGATAAAGTGTGTGTGTGTGTGTGTGTGTGTGTGTGTGTGTGTGTGTGTGTTAGAGAGAGACGATGAGACTAACGGATCCTAAACTCTTTCCTGACTCCGTAACCTGCCTTGCTTTTTCTGGTTTTCAGGCTTTCGTAAACTGCCTGGTGGGAAGGAAGCTTCAACTAATCGAGCTGATCCAAACCTGACCGCATGCCTGCTACGCACAAGGCCCCGGGCTGGGCCACACGACGCCACGGTGAGCTGTGGCCTGGGAAGGTGAGTTCTGACCACAGCGAGGGAATTCTCGTGGGAGAAGCGCAATCCCAGGGGGCCAGGTAGACGGAGAGATCCTGCACGCTTGGAGGGAGGGTCTGGAAAACGTGGAGGTGGCGTGGTACCTGAGGCTATCAAATCAGGGATGGCTTCCACAGTCAGGTCAGGGAGGAAGTCCTCCCAGTCAGAGGTGAGAGCATGAACCAGGGCAAGGAGGCAAGGGCTGGGGCAGAGAAGTTCCTGGGGGAGGCTTGGCAGGGCCTGGGGTGGGGAACCGCAGGGAGGAAACAGATGTTAGCCCAGGCCTGGGGCCAGTGTGGAAGGGGACAGTGGGAGGGGGGAGTGGAGGAAGAGGACAGAGGAGCCAGAGGTCACTGGGATTTTACCTGCAGGGGGATGGGAAGAATGACTGGAACCAATTATTCAAAACTCTGCAGGGCTTAGCGATGTGCTCAATACTACAAGGCAATACATAATTCAGTGTGTGCTTAGTAAATGCCATCACCATCCTGCCAGGGGCTGAGGCCAAAATCTCAGAGTCATCCCCAAACCCTCTCCAGGACATGCAGACCTTCAGTAAGCCGCACTGCTCTCCCTCCCAGATACCCTGCACCCAGCCACCACACCCCTCTCCTCCCTCTGCTCCCTGTTCCCCTACCTGGAAGGCTCTGTCCACACCTTTTCCCATGCCCACCTCCTGCACCTCAAGCCACCCCCTCCAAGAAGCCTCCCCTGACCACCAGTCACCTTCCCAGTCACTCATGTCACCCCATTTTTTGATGTCTGTTTCAACACTCGCTTCCCTAACCTTTCCTAGCTTGTCCATAGCTATATCCCCAACACCTGGAACAGCGTCAAGCACAGAATATGTCCTCAATAAATATTTGTTGCACTGCGCACAATGCCACTGTGGACACTGTATTCACAGACACGTGACATCTGCTGCCCGGAGCTGCAGCAGCTCCCAGGAGATGTACCCCGAGACGGGGTCAGGCCAAGGGCAGTCACGGCCAATGTCCAGGCAGTGCTCCGTATGGATGGGGGCCATCTGCATAAGGCTGTCAGCAAGTGGTAGCCCCAGCAGAGAGAGAGAAGGGGGAAGGAAGTCACCGCCCTGGAGGCAGACCCTTATCCCCAGCTCAAAGACTGGAGGGGGTTTGCCACGCGCAGACTGATGCAATTTCCTCAGCACCAACTGCTGGGGGAACCTAAGAGGTTAACTTCTTCGCCCCCATGGAGAGCAGGGAACACCAGCAGGCACGGAGGCCTGGCACCTCTCCCACCATCCCGGCAGGCCCGCAGCTGCCTGGTGCAGGGTGGCATAGCCTGGGATCCCTCACACCAGACTGAGGCGGGGCTTTGAACCAACCCATCTGTGGCCTGTCAGCCCCACCCATTTCCTTGGCCATGAGCTGCTCGGCCACCCTTCCCCGTGCCGTCTTACCCCGCGCCTCTACACAAAACGGTCTCTCTGGATCCTGACAATAGGATACAAATACAGGCCATTTCACAGACCAGAAAACTGAGGCCACGCCACACGGGTCGTGCCAAGGCACGACTAGAACCCGGGTCTTTGCTTGTCAGCCCGGGGCTATTTCTGCTAGTCATTCACAACAGTTTCTAAAATTAATAGGAAACGAGAAGTATGTGCGTGTCCATACATGGAAACGTCCCTGTGAAATGCGAAACGAACCCGGCACAACCCGAGGGAACACGGCCACGCTCGCAGCTGGCGGCGTCTGCGCCCCCACACCCCGGCCCCTGGGCTCAAGGGCAGGGGCATTGCCTCGTTGACCTCCGTCACCCCGGACACCGGGGCCGGCGCGCGCGCCCCGCACTGGGCTCCAGAACCTCACCGAACGGCCGGGACGCCCGCCCGAGCCCAGCCCCCCGCCCTCCCCCGGCCCGCGCGCCCCCCGCGCGCCTCCCCTCCCCCGGCCCGGAGCGGGGAGCCCCCACAGGCCGCTGGCCCAAGCCCTGCGGTTGGCCGCTCGAGCCCCATCGGAAAAGTTGCCGGGGGCTCGCGCGGCGCCCACCCGCGGCCCCGGCGCCGCCCCCCACCGCGCGCGCCCACTCACTCGTGCTGGGCCGCCAGGTGGTTGAAGACATAGGTGACCGGGATGGCCGAGAGGGACAGCACGAAGACCCCGGTGGCCGCAGAGGCACTCATCGCCGCCGCCGCGCCGCTCGCCCTTCAGCGCATCCCGCGCGGCGCCCCGCCCCAGCTTCCGGCAGCGCCCGCGCCCCTCGGCCGTGCCCTTCGGGGCGTCCCGCGCCGCGCCCTCAGCAGCGCCCCCTCGGCGCGCCGGCCCGCAGCCGCCCGGGAGCGCAGCGCCGCGGTGCGGTCCCGGAGGGCGCCCTGGCCGCGCCCGGGCCCGAGAGCGGCGACAGCCCGCGGCGCGGGACAGGTGTCCCGGGGGCGCGCGCTTTGCGGGAAGGCGGCGGCGGCTTGGGAGGCGGGCACGGCCGGTCGCGGATCCTCGACGACCTGGAGAGGCTCTGGGCAGCGCTGCGGGCGGCGGGGGTGGGGCGGGGGGTGGAGTCAGACCCGCAGGCGTCGGAGCGGGAAGGGCCCCGCGAGATCATCCACGTGGGGAGCCCTAGGCCGGGGGGTCGGGAGGGACGATGATCCCGAAACCGTGGATCGACAGCGGGCAGCGGGCACAGCTCGGTGCAGAGAACCGGGTCAAACCCAGGCTGCTCGCTCGCGTGCCGCTGACCTTGGTCAAGTTACTTAGCTCTTTGGTCTTTTCCCTTCTCTGTCCAATGGGAATAGCGCGCGCAGCGCAGGAGGCGATGAACTGAGCCGCTGTGTATGGATTGACACCCCCCCCCCCCCCCGCCTCTCGGAACACCGGGGTCTCCTGCAATTTCCGTTTCTGGTGGTTGAAACTCACCCTGGGAGAAACCCTATGATTTGAGAGACCAGGTAGCGTTCCGGAGGCCGGGTTTCTGCGGGACCGGAGGCGTGGGGCCCTGCGCGGGGAACGAGCACAGGGAGGCCAGGAATGAGGGCTCAGACCGCCGTCAGACAGACGGGCACCAAGTATGCCCGAGGCTGCTTGACCGTGCTGGGGGCGAGGTCTCAGAACCCCCCCGGGACTCAGCCTGGCATGGTCTGCTGTCCCGGGAAAGAGAAAGACAACGAGTGCCAGACAGACAGCAGCCCCGGAGACCCAGAGAGGAGAGCGGTACTCAGCACTAAGCCTGCAGCGGCCCAAGGCCTGAGGGCATCATTCGGCTCCTTTTAGAGAGGACGGAGATGAGTCACAGAGAGGCGGAGACCTACCCCTCCGGGGCCACTGCACTTTCCCAAGCCAGCTCTCCTGATCCCCTACCCGGGTGCTCCCGGGAGGCTTGGGTCTAACTCTGAGGAGGTAATGATAAAACCTTGGCCCAAATCGTGACACAGCCGAAGTTTTTCCCAAGGGACATCCTTACCTCTGACCTGGATGTCACCCTCCTTCACAACTACTCCGGTGTTTGTCACTGTCCTTAAGCTCTCTCTTCCTCCAGACAACAAAACCCCCTTTTGAGCCCCCCACTCTCCTCCCAGCCCATCCCTGAGGCCAGCCCAGCCCCTCCCTCACCACCCAAACCCTGCTGCATGAGTTTTGCCTTCTCTCTTATACCTTAAACCCCTCTGGCTGCCCTGGGTCCCTCCCCTCAACCTAGGCACACGCATGACTACGTCCCAGTGTAGACATGGCTCCCTGGGCCAGCGGCTCCTCTCCGTTCGCCACCTTCTCTCCTTTCTCACGCACACTCCGATTTAATGCCCGAGCTCTGCTGAGAGATCCCAAATTACAGTCCTCCTGCTGGCGTCTCCCCTCAGTGCTGCCGCATGGGCGTCCCACAGACTCATCACAGTCAACATGGCCAAAATAGATTTCCTCATTGTCCACGAGACCAGGTTCCTCTCATCTGGTGGCACCACCCCTCACCCGACGGGCCAAGCCAGACACCTGGGAGTGCACCTCCGTTCTGGCCGATCCCCCTTCCTCTGGTTCCGGCAGCACCGCCGGCGCTCCCTTCCAAATCCTTCTCAAGTCTGTGCCCCCACCGTTTGTCGGGGTCTGTCTCCCGTGTCCTACCCCTTCCCTCGTCTCTCCGGCTCTGATCCTGCCAATTCTAGAAGACTTCACCTGACCCCCATCCTGGGCCTCCCTCCCCCTGCATCAAGCTTTGCTTTCTTCAGAGAGCTTCCACTCTTCCAGATTAACTTGCTTACGTGTCTGCTTTCTGTTCCGTGTCTCTCTCTCCCTTATGACGTAAGCTCGGCGAGGTCAGGAACGCACCCGTCGTGTTTATAGTTCTAGTCCTATCCTTTCTATTAGCGGAAGAGGTGCTCAAGAAATCATTGTTCAGTGAATGAATGCTCAAGTCATCATTGTGCATTGGAACTATGTGAGCCGCATGTGTAATCTTAATTTTTTTTTTTTTTAGGTAAACTCTATATTCAACATAATGCTTGAACTGAAGACCCCGAGGTCAAGAGTCACACGCTCCACCAACCGAGCCAGCCAGGTGCCCCTGTAATCTTAAATTTTCTAGCAGCCACATTACAAAAGAAGAAGGACACAGGTGAAATTATTTTTCATGATAGAGTCTATTGAAGCCATATGTCCAAAAGATTATTATTTCAACAAGTCATCAGTGTCAAAGATATTGAGATATTTTACACTAAGTCTTTCAAATTTCATGTATTTTACACGTAACAGTATATTCTGTTTCAGACTAGTCACATTTCAAGCACTCAACGGCCACATGTAGCAAGTGGCATCTATACCGGAATCATGGTTCTAGAACTTTCTCCCCCTCTTGTACTGTCCTGGCTTCAGCTGTGCTCTCTGCTGGCTAATGTCAAGAATGGGTGTGATATTAAATCACTTATAAGCTTATTCAAGTGTCCTCAGAGAGTCTACCATGTTTCTAGCATTGTTCTAAGACATGGTCATACAAAGATGAATTATAAACACATCTTCCCAAGAAGTCCACAATCTGGTGCGAGAAAGGGATATGTAAACAATTACCATAAAAGGCATCAAAGATGTATGTACAGCTTGTTAGAGGAACCACCGGTTCTGTCTGGACGAGTCAAGAGAAGCTACGAGGAGGAGGTGAGGCTTGCGCCCAGACTTGAAGAGCAAGTAGAAGCTGGCCAAGCAGACCAGGAGCGGGTGGGGCTTCCCAGGCAGTGGAGAGAGCACATGTGATGGCAGAAATGGGTGGGCACATGCCACTTGGTGAACTTCAAGTCACTTGCTTTGCTTGAAAATACCAGGATGTCATGCACAAAGGGGCTGGCAGGAGGTGAAGGTGGACAGGTGACCCGGGACTCGATCTCGGAAGACCTCAAATGCAGGGAACATGTAAGGTTCATGAGTGGGAGAGAGTAGCATCTTCAAAGCCCCGCCTGGCAGCTGGTGGGGACCATGGTTTAGAAAGAGGAGAGACAGGAGGCAGGAAGGCCAACTAGGAAGCTAGGACAATGGTCCAGCGAGAGATCATGAGGACCTGAACCAAGGAAGTTCGAGGAAGAAAAGGGTCTGGAGAGGGATCGTAAGGGGAGAAAGTTGGGAGGTGGGGGCTTAGCACAGGTTTGGTTTCAGACACGTGGGGCTGCCAGTGCCCATGGGTTCCCAGGAGGAATGGTCTCATTGGCAACTGGGGATACCAGCCTGTGGCACCAAGAGAGGTACAAATGACAGATGTAGATCTGGGGGGTCAGGAGCCTGGAGATGTGGCTGAATAGCAAGGAGATGAATTCCCTGTCCCAGGAAGAGAGTAGAGACAAAGAGAATAGTAACAGACACGGCCAGAGAGCGGGTGGTGAGCCCTGCCCCCAGCAGAGCAGCCCAAGGGCATCTGAACGCAGTGGCATAGGCATTCAACACCCCAACCTCAGGAGCTGTTCCCTGAGAATCCGCAAGACACCCAGGGGCCACCTCAAAGCTCAGGTGCTGTGATATACATGTTGGAGATTATGATTTTCTTGATAATAGTTTCTCTTAATGCTGAAAGTATGAGTAGCCAGAACTCTTGTAGTCGAGGAGCCTGTGTGCTAGGAACCCTCCCCAGCAACCTGCGTAAACCCAGTGAAAATAATCTCATTCCACAACACTACTGTACTGTGGAGACTCCAAAGTGTAGTTGACCTTTGAATAATGCAGGGGGGTTAGGGACCCCCTCCACCCGCTCAGTCAAAAATCTGCATATACCTTTTGACTCCCCAGAAACTGCTGACCAGAAGCCTTACCAATAACATAAATGGTTGATTCATGCATATTTTGTATGTTATCTGTATTCTACACTATTTTCTTATGATCAAGTAAGCCAGGGAAAAGAAAATGTTAAGAAAATCATAAAGAAGAAAAAATACATTTACAGAACTGAACTGTATTTACAAAAAAAGAAATCCACGTATAAGTGGGTCCATGCAGTCCAAACCCATGTTGTTCCAGAGTCAAGGGTATTTCCACTAATATTATCTCTTTTAAGCTTCACAGCAGCTCTCTGAAGAAGAGAGAGAGCCCTTTATGGATGGAGAAAGTGAAGCTCAAAGAGGCGATGTGACTTGCCCAAGGTCAAAAGGCTAAGAGAGAGGGTGAACCTGACTTCAGTCGCTATATCCGTGAATCTATGCCCAGTGACTGAATCTAAGTCCCTAGACCCACGTTGCCACAGCTCACTGAGCACCACGTTGGACACCTTAGAAATGGTGGATGGATGCGCTACAGGCTTAGCCAGCTGCCTCCTTGCTCAGGAAGCTGAGGTCCGGAGTTCTATTCCACGCCGATCAGTAGGAATTAAATTCCCATCTTGAAAAAGGGCTGGATACGACTTAAATGGTATTCAGACAACAGAGTAGTTTGGTTTTTTATTTTGTTGTGAGTTTGTGTGTATGTATGTTTTTTAGGAGCATCAATCTTGCAAGCCATGGAGACTAATATTGTAGCTGTGAAACTTGACTCCAAGCTTCCCGCAAGCAAGCAAAAATAGACCTGTGGAGGTACGCACTGTTCTGTGGTAAGAAAGACACAGGTTTTTGTCACATTGATTCAAAATAATTGACAGATCAGGAATTCAACTGAAGCAGCCCTCACCATGCCTGTTTATGCCTCAGAGGGGAAGTGAAAGCAGAACATGAGGGAACTTGGTCATCAGGAGCTAAGAAAGAATG